ATGTTTTGCTTTCTTAGCAATAATTTTGATTTCTTCTCAAGAACTTGAGAAACTAAGGGCGTCCCCCTATCTTCTAAGATTACTTACCTCAGCTAGAACTCACATTCTTGCTATTTTTGCAAGACAGATTCAAATACCTCGGTTTGATGCCTCGGCTAGAACTCACTTTCTTGCTATTTTTACAAGACAGGTTCAAATACCTCAGTTTGGCGCCTCAGCTAGAACTCACGTTCTTGCTCGTTTTGGCAAGACGGGTTCAAATACCTCGGTTTGATGCCTTGGCTAGAACTCTCAATCTTGCTCATTTTGGCAAGACAGGTTCAAATACCTCGGTTTGATGCCTGGCTAGAACTCTCAATCTTGCTCATTTTGGCAAGATGAGTTCAACTACCTCGGCTTTGTGCCTGGCTAGAACTCTCAATCTTCCAACCGGTGGCTAGTATATGTAGGATCTAGGTGCCCTCTTTGGTATCTATGAATGAGATACCCTTGAGGGTAGGCCAATCACTGTGCACAATAATAATCGACATAGTCAAGGCGTGAGGTGTGTGCACAGTGACAAGCTAAGAGAAAGGGTTTAGAGAGTGTGTACCTTATTGGTTTAACCCCTTATTTATAGAAGGGTTACCTGATAGGAGTGTACTGCCGGGCATCTTAGAAATATTGAGGGCCCAAGTCCAACTGCTTAGCTGTCTGGATAGGATTGTCATTAATAGGATATTCCCTTCCTTTTGTGCTGTCCTTTATTGGTCCTTCTAAAATATGGGCTTTTGTCAGGTCCATAATAGTTGCAAAAAAAAATTTCTACAATGACAGAAAAGTTATAAAACCCTTTACATATACACGAAATTAAAAAGTAGTATATTTTTCCACATAAAGAACAAATTTCTATTTGCTGAAGGTTTATAACCAGTAACACTTATTAATTTGAATAAATACATTTTTGTCTTTAACAAAAAAAACACGAAATCTATTTTAACTTTTAAGAATTTTTTTTTACTCGTAGTTCCTTTGAAATTTCAATTCTTTGAAATTGTGTTTTCTCAAAAGTTCAAAAAAGATTCACGTTAGTCCCTAAAAAAGGACCAATATGGATACTTTTTTTTCGAAGGAATTAAAATGAATTTCGTATTTTTTTGTTGAAGACTCAAAATAATATTTACTCTATTAATTATTATAAATGGAATGTCAATTAACCTAGAGCCAAATTTCTAGAGGATTCATGTTAATTACATGTCACAATTGAGTCTATTGTCATATATCTTCATCTAAATCTAATAGCACTCTGTATCGCGTCAGCAGTGACTGACCATATCCCACTAATGAGAAGAAGTTAAAAGGCAAGTTGAGACTAGAAAATAAATATTAAAGTCCACGCGTCCTAACATTCGAACTGTCATGGACAAACCACCCATGTTTCCTTAACAGCTGAGCAAAACAGCTAGGATCTCTCTTCCATTTGGTCAAAGTTTGGGCCATGGAAATATAATAGGAGTGGCCGGACCCTGTTTCGGTGTACACGGCATTATTTTGGTTGTTTAGTTGGACAATGATCCCCTTTTTGGTCGTCATTCCTCACACACACATTGTACCAAGGATCCATGCACTGACCTACCTGGCTATACCTAATTATTATTCTTATATTTTTCTTTCGAGTTGAACATAATATATAATTGTCTAATGCTTGCTTCGGTAGTAAGTATAAGTTATATTATGTGTCCCTCCCTTTGAATTCTTTGTTATTGCTGATGAAGATAGAATTTGAATGTTTCACTTCTCAAGACATAATGACCATGTGGCTTAAAAGAGAGAGTTTTTGTGAGCAAATTGTTGCAAGTTTATTTGAATTACTTTTGTCTTTTAAGGTTTAAGATCAAGTCACATGAACTAATTCACTTCAAGATATACATATTGGTAATTGGTCACTTGCATATGGATGGCAGCAAATTATTCGATATTGTCGGCTTATGAGCCGTAAACATTACTACTAATTAGTTTACGTTGAATATTATGGTATATACTCAAACTTTTTAAAAATTTAATATAATCTCTTTTATGTGATGAGCCCAACACAACAATTTAACTTGGTTTTATATATCTATCTGGTTGGATAATACATAAAGTTTATCAAAATAACAAATCTTGCGTTTGATGCTTTAAATTTAATGATTTAGAGAGCTAAATACGACCGTATTTCCTTGTGCAATTTCGGAATCATTTACTTGCATAAAAATAATTACACCCTTTGACGAGTTTAGCTTTGATTTCAATGTAAGAATATATGAAATTTGAAGGTAGTGGGGGTCTTGGCTTGACAAATGAGAATAGTGATAAATTAATTCTACAACTCATATCGATATATATTTGGGAGAATCTAATCTCATATATTAGGAGATACTCCCTTTTATATCATAGACCCAACATATGATAGATCTCACCATATGTTAAAAAAAACAAAAAAATAAATATATATTTATTGATATATCTATAATATAAAATAACTGTTTCCTATTACATGAATTAATAATTTTTCTCTATATTATTATAAGTTTTATTAATATCTTGTTAGAGGAGATAAGTTATCTCATGTCATAGAGATAAATTTGTGAGCTCCATCACCTGCAAAAGAAAAGAAAATGGTGACACAATTATCGAAGAGTGTGTAGGAGAAAAAATTATCTAATGTTACATGAGAATAATTTTTTTCTATTATTATATACTTTTAATTTGGTTCTAGATGGAGTAAAAAAGAAACAAACATAAAAGAAAAGGAAAAAGACAATCCTAATTAATTAGTCAAGAGTCCCCAATTCTTGACTCAGTGCACAAGGACAACTAATAGGCCTTGTCAGCTCGTATAAATAATCCTCTTATTTCACGCGTATATCTTCTACTTCAGTCCTGTCTTCTACCAGAAACTTCCAAGGGACTTTGCCTTTTTGTTGTACATTAACTGGTTGAGCCTTCCCCATTTTTATAGTCATAAAGTATCAGTGGCATCACAATTTTAAGCTATAAAAATTACTTTTCTATTGTTGATAAATTTCTCAATTAATTGACGATCCAAATAATCCTCGAAATAATGATTGGTTGGCATATATATGATTTTTGTTTAAATTTTCTCATTATCTTTTTTTATCTGGAAATTATTATGTATGAACAAGAAAGCAAGAAGTGTCCTTGTTGCTAATTCCTGTCCAACCGGGGATAAAGAATTTAAAAAGTTTATGAGGCACTTGACAATGACAAGTATATAAATATTATTTTGAGATATGAACCTATTTTGAAAAAATCTGATCATTCTTTTAAGGACACTGTTTTGTTTTTTTGTTTTATTTTGAATAAGAGAATATGGTCCTTTAAAAATGAAAAAATAATTTTTCTTTTAATGTGACTAATGGATCACATAAATCATGTATGCTTTTGACTCTTTATCATAATCATATATGTTATTCTACAACTCAAGGGATTCCAAATTATTGAAAAATTATTTATCCTTTTAAAAAATATAAGCTTATGTCTTTTTACTTTCATATAACTATGTATTTAAAAAAATATATAGTTATAATATTAAAGTTATTTTTTTCTCTTTTTAATTTCTTTTCAAAACTCATTGATGAGAGAGAGAGAAAAAAAAAATTATATTATAATTATATACTTTTCGAAATACATAATTATAAAAGATGAAAGGATATAAGTTTATATTCTTTAAAATAATACATATTAAAACCTTTCTTTTAAGTATACAATATGTGTACTGTAGCAGTTAATAATTTATGAGTTGGTGTTTTTGTATTGCTTGAAATACTTAATGGTTGTATTAGGTCTAACATATTTACCTTGTCTGACCATAAAATACTGTTTATCATTTTACTTATAAAAAGAAAAAGGATATAGGTATATATTTACCCCAAAAAATAAGAATATAGAAATTTAAACGTACCTTGTGAAAGGTATAATCCAACTTTGGAAAGGAAATACGATATGAAAAGCAGATATTTATAAATGTGTATGCATTGTGTGTAGTGCTATCACATCACATGCTTGCATTTCCATTCATTGGTAACATATGATTAATGTTTAGGCCAAACAAGCATGGGGATGTCATTATTTAGTAACAACCAATTTATGTCATTTCCTTGTTGATAAAGAAAGTAACTAATTTTTGCCCCAATAAGATCCAAAGTCATTTTGCATTAACCCAACAGTCCATGTCAGGTTGTACAGAAAAAGGTACGCTAATTCAATTAATTATGGCGAGTTCCATATGACAGTATGACACAGCTTGTAATAATTTCTCGAGAAAGAGTCATGATCATGAAAGCATCTCCAAAAGCCAAAGCAATGAGTAGTAATCTAGAAAAGTAAAACCCAATGATGAGCTAAGGGAAAATTGTAACTGTAAATAAATAAAGGGTTTTATAAGAGTTATGTTGTAGGAAAAGTGATTGTGTAATGTTATAGAGATTCGTTTTGCGTGCCTTAATTTTTTATTTATTTTTTGTTTTAAAAAGTGTGGACCCCACAAAATGTTGTGAGTGTAGGAAAGTTTGTTGTGTTATGTTAAAGGATAAAACGAAAACCCAATAAATAATAAGCAGAATAAATAAAAAAAGATAAAAAGTTTTTGATGTCACATAATTTGTTCAATAACAACAATTTTTTTTAATCTAAATATATGAATAATAAAAAAAGGGTGAGATCTACATCCTTTGATGCTGACCCCACCCAACATTATTACACCTCCCCTTCTTTTTCCCTTTGCCTTTGCCTTGCCCAACTCACAGATCTACACTTCATCAACCCTTTCTTGCTTTTGCTTTCTGTTTCTTTGACATTTTATGTGCTTCTTCTATACCAGATTTATATATATCTATAATGCTACACCAAACCTGCACCCGCACTTTGATCCAGTGCATTGTCCTCATCCATGGACCATGGACCACCACAATAATAAACAACATTTAACAAAAAATAATAATAATAGTTCAACAAAAAGCAAAACAAGGAAAATGAGAGAGAGAGAGAGAGAGGGCCATGTGATGTGACAATGATAGCAAAACAATCAAGCGGAATCCTCGGGTTGTTCATTGTCAAGATGATTTTCCTTTTTTACCCTCGGCTGAATCCCGTAATAACGAACGTACCACTTCACGAACTTCCTCAACCCCGTGGCCAAATCCGTGGAGGGTTTGTAACCGAAATCCCTATAAGCCAAAGTCACGTTGGCGTGCGTGAACGGAACGTCACCGTTTCGTGGCATCTTGATCACGTGCTTCTTCGCCTTCGTGCTCAGCAAACCTTCCAAAATCGACACCAACTTCCCCACCGGCACCGGCGACGTGTTCCCGAGGTTGTAAATCCTCAGCTGTGCGGGTCCCCTCTTCTTGCCGCCGCTTCCGGTGCTCTTCTCCGCCGTGTCCAGCGCACCGAGGCATCCCTTTACCACATCATCGATGTAAGTGAAGTCACGCGCCACCTCCTTCCCGTCCTGCGTCTGGTACACGTCGATGGTCTTCCCCTGAAGGATGTCCTTCGTGAAGAAGAAGTACGCCATGTCGGGTCTCCCCCATGGGCCGTACACGGTGAAGAACCTAAGACCGGTGAGGGCAAGACCGTAAATATGGTTATAGGTGTGGGCGATTTCCTCGCCGGCTTTCTTGGTGGCGGCGTAGAGGCTGGCCGGCTGATCGGTCCGGTGAAGCTCGGAGAAAGGGTTTTCGGTGTTGAGTCCGTAGACGGAGCTAGATGAGGCCCACACGATGGAAGGTTGGGGTTTCGCTGATTTGGCAACTTCTAGAAGGTTCACGAAGCCTGCAATGTTTGAACTGACGTACGATTGCGGGTTCTGCATGGCGTAACGAACGCCGGCCTGTGCCGCCAGGTGGAGGATGTGTGTGAACGGCATCACATCGAAGAGTTTCGCCAACAACGGCGCGTCGTTTAGGTCACCTTCCACGACGAAGATTTCGTGCTTCGACAACAGTGCCTGCCTCGCACGCTTCAACGACGGGTCGTAGTAGCTGTTGAAGTTGTCGAGGCCGAGGACGCCGTCGCCGCGCTTCTTCAGGGCGAGGGAGCAGTGGGTCCCGACGAAACCAACCGCGCCGGTGACAAGCACCGACATGCCGTGTGGGCGGCGGGGAGTGGAAGAGTGGAGCACTTGTTTCTCCCAGGCGCCGCCACCGCCACCGCCGCCGAATGCGGAGGAGAGGAAGTTTTTGTGTGTGTGGACATGGTGGTTGTTGTCGGAGAGTGGAGGGTAGTTATTGAAGGTGAAGAGGAACACGAGGACGAGTGCTACGAGGAGTGTGGCACGGAAGAGAAGCTTGGAGGATGCGTTTAGGAGCTTGGTGCTGTTCACTCTTCGGATGTAGCTGTTGTATCTCTCTAGCTTTATGGTTTTGCTCGTGTCTGGTGGAGAAGCCATATTCTGAGCAATTGAGGTTTGTTTTGTTTGATAGAATTTAAGATATTGCTATTGCTGTCAGTGTGTTTGTGTTTGTGTTTGGAGGGAACAACGATTACACAACAACAGAATAGCCAAAAGGGGCTAGCTCCAAATGTGAGTGTGAGTGTGAGTGTGTGTATGTGTGTGTGTTTATGAGTTTCTGTGTATGTGAGAGCTGATTTGAGGTTGAGCCCTGAAGTTAGAAGGGTGTGAAAAAGATTTAATATAAAGGGGAAGGAGACATGAAAGGGAGAGAGAGAAAGAGATGGGTTGGTGTTGGTTGGATACCACTTTCTTCTTAACTCTTTTCACCATCATAGTAATGGCAAGTGCTGTTATATGTATGTAAATGTTGTACTTTGTCCAATGTCCCCATGAATTTGATCCATCATATTGCAAAGTCCTATACACTTCTTGTATTGTTGTATTAAGTAATTATGTTACGTAGGCATTGCCAATGCCAGCTATGGATGGTGGAAAAACACGCACCATGTGCTCTCCACGTGCATGCTAAGATGTCAACACTTTGGTCTAAATTCACAATACCAGTGAGATCACCATTGTCATTTCATTAACTTGTGGGTAGGGAGGGTATCACCGTATTAATTAACAGCCAACAATGACTCTCTCTTTATTTTTTTTTCCTTTTTATCCGGAAGGTATACTAACATGAGTTAAAATTGTTTGTTGCAAGAGCATTATAGAATGGAGAGGTTAGGCCAATAACCTAAGTACCTAACCCAGAGAAATGGATTATAGAAACGCATTTGGATTCTGGAGGAAGATGAGAAGTCAATGGGTTCAAAGTCAGAAGAATGTGCCTCAAGTGTTCAACCTCATTATCGACCAAGATAAATTGGTTATTATATTTTTGAAGTTTGTTTAGGTGTGAGCGTGACCACTGGCCACCGACAATGTTAAAGAATACATCGTTTTCACACTTATCATTATTATTTAATACGCTGGCATCTTTTATGTTGTTTTAACATTTTACGGACATCACGTTAAATGATGCAATCAATTAAAGCCAAATTTGATATTAATAAATTGCTGGCTTAACTCGGTGCTAATTAGTAGAAAATTTAGTTAATTTATGTCCTTAATTAATATTCTTCTGACTCGGAATTTGATTTAAAGAATGGCCTTGGTCGGCTGTCTAAGTTATCGTTTCTGGAATGACCCGAAAACTTGCATCAAATCAAATTTATACCCCTTTGTACTTGTACAACATCAATATGCAGGAACTTGAAAATTTAATTCTATGTAAATCCAGCGACTTCTCTTTCATTCTTCCATCCAAAATTTACTGCCTTACTGATAAAAAAAAAAGTATATTAAAATGTATATAGTGTTAGTAAAATTTCTTACGCAAAAAATTACAAAATATTCTGATTGGATGCATGATGTCCTCATAAAACCATGTCTAATAAATTAGCTGTTATATATGGAGCCCCACTTGTATTAAGTGTTTCCTCAACTTATATCGCAGTTATATTTCATTAAAGCTAGAAAATTACTTATCGTATTACGATCTCATTTAATGTGGCGAGATATATACATAGTGGTTGAGTCCGGACCAAAGATTATATGTGAATTTATTTTTCTTAATTTTAGTTAGTTTATATCATAATATATTTAAATTGAGGAAGGATCCAATATTTATAAAAAAAATTTATAAATTTTTGCAAATTATACTATATACTTCCGGAAGTACATAATATATAACCTAGTGTACTTTTCGGGAGTACATAGTGTAGTTTGTAAATAAAAAATTTATAAATACAATCCTCTCCATTTAAATACAAAGTACCTTAGCAGACAGTACCAAGAAGAATTATAATTTTATTAAATATTTTTTAATTTTTAGTAATTTTTTTTATACAAGTAGAAATTGAACATGTAACCTAATACAACTTACCCAAATCTCTTACCAAAAATATTTTAAGTTTTAGATATGGCCAAATTATAAATTGTAGCCCGGGCCAAATTATAATTTTAACCCAGGCTAAATTATAATTAATTATATAATTATATATAATAAGTATAATTTGTTAAAATTTAGTCCGGACCGAGACCACACCCAGGATGTATGTGGCTCCCGCCACTATATATATGGTGAAATGTGGCTTCTATATTTTATTATTAAAAAAATAATACTTTCAAGCCTGGATAATTTCTAAGGGGACAGAGCTGTCCAAGAATTACATTTCTGTTCATATTAGATGGTTACCTCCGGACACAGGTTGGGTGAAATTAAACACGGATGGTGCAGCCAGGAGTAATGGTAGGGGTGCTGTTTGTGGAGAAATTATAAGAGATGAAGATGGTTATTGGAAAGAAGAGTTTGCTTACTATATTGGCCATTGTTCAGCTTTTGTTGCAGAATTATGGGGCGTCCTTGAGGGTCTTGAATTTGCTTGGGCTAGAGGTTGGAGACGCTGCATCCTAGAAAGTGATTCAAGCTCAGTTATCACTTTGCTCTCCAGCAGTGGAAGAGCAGCTCGAGAGTCTCGCTTAGTGACTCGGATTTGAGCATGGTTACAAGAGAATTGAGAAGTTCAACTGGTTCATGTTTTTAGAGAAGAAAATAGTTGTGCAGATTGACTTTCTAAATATCCTTTAGACTATGCTGTTGGGAATAATTTCTGTGTTTTTTCAAACCCTCCCCTTGGTATTTGACCTTTGTATTGGGCTAATTTGTCTTTATCTTGTAATTTCAGAACGATTTTATTGAATTGATCTCTTTTGGGTGTTGTTGTTAACCCCCTTAGATTGCCAAAAAAAACAAAAAAATAAAACTTTCACTCAATGTTTTATATTAAAATATAGCTTTGTTTATTTTTATTCACAGCTTCAACTAACAAAACTTCGACGCTTTACAACTTTAAATTTCAATCTTTTCATCCTAACGATACTTTATTATCACAATACTATACTCTTTCTTCTTCCTCCTCTTGAAACAATACATTACATTTTAAAATTTACATGAATATAATGTGTATAAACTATCTACAATTGTAATTAATCATTGTGTTGAATCAACAACATTCTTCATATAAACTGGATAGATAATAACAACACATTTTTGGTCATTTTCAAGACGTGCAATACTAATTCTTATCATTTACGGTTAGGGTCATTAATAGAAATAATTATATGGCCGTGGAAGAAACTCAAATTACATGAAGGAAAAGCTACAGAACGCTGGAGGCTTTTATTAACTCATCAGTTTAATTTGTGAGCCATGTACGTTTAAAACTTTCAACAGCTTTAATATCATTTTTTATTGTTTCATGGATTTTTTTTAGCACTTGGCTGATTCATGAATGCGTATATAAATCATTACGCAAGAGTGGAGTCATAAAATTTTATGAGTGAGGGCGGAAAAGTCAAAATTCACACTCACTTAGGGCTTAGGCCATGCAATATAGTGATAAGTGATGATATCATTGATATGTAAACATATTTGAAGAACTCTTCAAATTTTCTTCGTACATGAGGAATAGTAAAGACAAAAGGGGTGAATTTATGTCACACTACCTTTCTTTAACTTTAAATGTAATTTAAGACAAATGCTTAATGAATTAGAAGGAAGCGATCGCCCCTTCTAGCTCTCTCGTGCTCCACCGTGTTGATGATTGGTGAAACAAATAAAATAATAAATCCTCGTAGTTGAGAGTTCTTGTATGAAATGTTCGTATAAAATAGGATTGATAGATTGCTTTATGGAGTTAAAGGGAGAATAGTTGGTATAGGATGAACCATAATTCTAAGTTAGTCTTAAATATGTTGGGCCGTGTAGGGGTTGTAGGAAATCTTAGATTTATGCGGAAGCAGTTTAGGACCTAGTACATTGGTATGCTTACCGAATCATCCTTGTTTCACAATTACCTCTCGGTGCGCAGGTCTCGTGTAGAATCTTCCCTTGTAGGATTCCTCTTCTCGAACAGCTCACCTCAGCACCGCAGCACGAACAACCTTCTTGAAGCTGGACTGTGGCAGATCTTCCAGACTATCTCTCGAGGAGGATGAGATGGTTGTGTGGGCAACCGTTCAGATGATGAACGTCTGCCTCTTGGGGTTTGTTTCTGATGATCTGTTCACCTTTTTGGCACAAGAGGAGAAAACTATGAATATATACGCTTAGGTCTTAGACAAAACTCAACCCTAAGCCTCATGGGCTCAAGTGTCACTGAAGCCCAATAGGACTTTAGTGACCAAAAGAGCATATATCCAACAATCTCCCACTTGCTCTTTAAGATACAAACTTGAGTTCGTAAACCCAAGGCCATGTAGCCCATAAGCTATCATCATCTGATAATATACCCCATCCCTTATCTCGAGCTAGCCTGGGGACCTACCATTTGTCATTGATCAAGGCTCCTAATAATCTTTGAAAGATTATCTAATTCGGCGCTACTCCACTAAAAGCCCGAACGTGAACTCCAAGATTAATGACCTTTATAACATGAATATGCATCGCCCCTTTCTAGAATGTCTATAATTGATTGACAAGTTTTCTGTAACTCAATCAATTATTTATTCCCTTGACTATGATAGTTTCTCTGATGGATTACATGCACTGGCCAGTGTCTTTAATATCCAAATACCGAAACATATCAAGGGGACATATCCTACAAATTCCATGTTGTTTATCTCATAAATACCGATAATCAAATAATCTCACTCCCAAAATACCGAGTTATTGGCCGTCAATAGATCGAACCTCACCCGTTGGTAAATCAAAGAATGAAAACTATTTGATTACCTATTTGTAATAAACTCAGGATTAAGAGCAATCACATAACTATAGTTAACTGGAGATTTGATACCTTATGACAGAAAAACAACCTTAATCAAATCTCTCCTTGATCCTTTCAATGTGAATGTTAATTCACACCAATATTTTACAATAATTCGGACAAAATCATTTCATAAAATATTGCAGCCTGAATAAAGTGCCCAACTTTATTTAACGGCTGTGACTTCATTCATCAATTGTGAGATCCTATGATCATGTCCTCCATGAACGTATCCATATGATCATATACTCCACAATTTGATCCGGACCTTTATGTTTGTAAATAGTGCGCAAAATAAATAAATAAAACCTTATTTATGAAATTCAGAAAATTATTTATTGTTTCATCGTCTTACTCCAAGAGCACAATGAAAACAATAACTCTGACTTGCTTAATTCAAGTCTGGGATCCTCCTAAGACCCAAAGAAGTAACATGCCTCTCGAACACAAGTTCAGGCAAACTCTTAGTAACTGGGTCTGCAAGATCCACCTTTAATGTTATCTGAGTTTAGTAAAAACTCATAGCTCGAGGTTGATTTTCTTGAGTCAATATCCACTTGAAATAACTGAATTTTTGAAAACTCAGCTTTTCAAGA